TGTTAATGTGACTACTAGAAAATTTTGAAATGTGACTCACATTTGTGGCTCACATTAGGTTTCTATTGACACTGCTGATCTACAGCCTGGAATTTGGAGAATATGTGACCTCTAGAAAAAGCAGAAAGAGGAAAGATGGGGGAAGAGAGAAAACAACCTCTTGTATTTTCAAATGTCTTTCTAAAGTAATACAATCTTTTCTGATTGGCTCTTCCTCATAGGAAGGCATACTCAAAAATGGGTTAGGTGGTCTATGGAAATGATTGTAGATGAGTTCTCCCAGAAGCAGACTTTGACAATTTGAATTGGGAGGTGATCCAGGAAGCACCTGGAGGGAGAGGGGATGCAAACGGGAAAGAGAACGAAGAGGAAAGAGGGTTAATGAGCAGGTTGTTGCTGTGGACCCATGTGCTGCCTCCCAATGGCGCCCTGTGGGAGATTTTGTAGACAGAGGCTCAGAGTGGTTCCACCAAGGAAGTGAAAAAGCTGGGCAGTGTATCCACCAATTGCCAGTAATTGCCACTTGAGGGCTGCTCCTAGGGGCTTCAGCTTCTTCTTACTCTCCCCAGCACCTGCCTTGCCTGAAGCCAGGTAAGACCCTGGGGTGAAAAGGCACAGGTACTTGCAGGAAAAAGCCATGAGCAAGCTGGAGAATGGTGCCTGCCAGAGGCACAGGGTTGGGCCCTTCTAGTGTCTGGAACTGTGTCAAAACTAAATGTTCCATCTTATAATTCATAATTTCAACAAACATTCATGTAGTTCTCTGATGAGTGTGTTCATTTTCTCATTCAATCTTAACAATAGTATAGATAGGTAGATTTATCATTATCCATACATTATGGATGGGAAAACTGAGCCCGAGACACATCCGGTCATTTGCCCAAGAGAGTCCAGCTGGGATGGTAGCCCCAGTCTTCTCCCTCTGCATATGTGGTCACTCATGCCTGACTCCTTGGATTTCTACAAAACTTGGCTTGAGTAAGGAGATGTCAATATATTGATGTTTTCAAGGTGGTAACAGGAAACTAAAACCAATTTTTCTTATGGTCTGTAGAATTTTTTTAGATATCCATAGGGCAGTGTAGAAACTGGTATCTACTTAATCCCATGACTTTTATATGAAAAAGTATGATCTCTGTTTTGCACAAATCACAATCAAAATCAAGAGGTTATGGAGCCTGCTGACCACTACCACACAGGATGTTAGTGATAGAGTTAATTTCCAGAAAATCTTCAGAGAAGTCCCTGTAGTGGAAGCTTATGGGTGCATGGCTCATTAACGACTGGATTTTGTTACCTTCCCATTACCCAGGTTCCCTTCAAAAGTGTTGTCAGCCCCTTTGGTACCACTTGGAAACAAGTCTCTCTCCCAGCTTAATTTCCCTTTATTATGCTTCTAACTGACTTGGTAATTCTTTGCAGACTTCAGTAACACTTGTACTATTTAAATTTGAATAACCCCAAAGGATCTGGATAGGTCAATGTGTTTAAACCACAGGCTTTAGTCTATGTATTAACTGATTAAAAACAGATTTGATGCATGATGTATACTTAATAAAGGGAGGGGGAAGCAAGCAGATGTTTGTAAAATTTCAATGTGTTGGATTGCATTTCTTTGACCCTCTTTTGCTGACTAGCTTTAGAAAAGTCATACTTATGACAATTGAATTATAAACAGTTAGATGATGTATTTCCCTAGAAATTTCTGCTGTGAAGGGTCAGCCAAAAAGAAAAGTATCCCCTAGTATTAACATACCCAAAAAGTTGACAAATATACCTTATAATAGTTATGTCTATATCAAGGACATTGAAGAATGGGATGCTTCAAAATCATCCTCTAGTCTCTGACCATAAAGTGATTAGCAGTTGCAATTCATTTAATCCAAACAGTAAAAAAAAAACTTTGGCTTTTGTTGTTATTGTTGTTAAAAGCAAGTTTTTCTTTGATGCAAGCATAAGATCAAGTTGTACATAAATCACTGTGTCTAGTTCATTCTCTGACTCTTCAGCCTCTTGTATCCCATTCTTTAAGTGAAAAAGTTATTTTTCTCCTTTAAAATTGTCACATTTGAAATGTTTTGAGTATTTCCAAGACAGAATTGAAGGTTTCTTGTTGGTTTTCCAGTCCAGATGAAATGTGCACAAGGCCTTCCTCTGAATTTTGAACACATGAGAATTACAGAGAAAATATTTTAAAATGTATTTTAATGAATACATAACCAAGCATAAACATATGTGAAAAGCCTCCAAGGACCGGAAATGAAAGAAAGTGTAGAGTGGTGAGGGAAGACTGACACTGGGCTACTCCCAAGGAGTGGAGATGACATGGGGCGATGGTGACTTCAGTAGACACATAGGGAAGTGAACATCACATGTGGCAAGAGCCTTGTACACCTGGAGGCCAAGACCCCCCCATGGATACACTGGACTCAAAGGGAACCTGACATCTTATCTGGAATTGAAGTCAGACACAGAACTCTCATGGAGGGAAGCAGAGGCACTGAGTCAAACTAGGATCTGTGCCTCTGTTGCACACGAGTGCCTTGTGGGAGCGTCCTCTTTGGGAAAAGAACCTCACGCCCTAACCTCAGAATATGCTTCTCATCTGGCTGGACTATGTCAATCCCCAAATCACAGCACAGGGAGCAAAGTTTACATTGTATGAGGTATCAGACAAAAATTACAAGACAAAGATAAAATCAGATCCTTGAGAAATATTCAACAAGCACAGGGAAATACAGAATTGCCTTTTCTCAAAAGAGCTTAAGAATAAGTAAGTTTAGTTGTCTTGAGATTATGGAGAAGAGAATTGTGTTTTTGTAATAGGAACAGAAAGGAATTCAATAAGAAAAGGGAGATGTGATAAAGAACCTACTAGAAATGCAAATGCATTCGTTAAAAAATTTTAAAAACAGTCAACACCAGATTAATAAGTTTAACTTGTTTTAAAAATAACCAGAAAGTTCTGCTTTTGACATATGCATTTTAAGCCTTAGATAAAAGTGGTTCTTTTCCTTAATACACTTTTCTCAATAAAAAATTTAGGGAAGTAGAAAGAGCTAAAATTTTCATAAATAAATTTTACAGCGTAATGAAATATTGACACCTTTATGAACTTGTTAGTTTTCAAAATCCCTCAAACTCTTTCTAAATCCTCTTTCTCGGATGACATTATAAATTTGAGGTCTGTTTTCTTTTCCATGAAATTTCCTGTTGTTCCATATCTTTGCCATACTTGTGGAACTGTCTATATGCTAAAACACAGTTTCCCTGATCTTTTGCCCTCTCAACCTCTCTGATGTTGGCATATGACATTGTTCTATTCCCTGCCCATGGAAGATTCTTCTTTCCAAGAAGTTTCCACTGTTGTGCAACAAAAAACCCCTGGACATCCTTCAAGCCTCAGCTGCAAGACTTGGCCCTCTTGGAAACCTTTAACCAGCAGCCATCAACTCTTCCCCTACTCTTGTTTGTAGCATCTTTCTCCCAGTTTGTACAGCCATCTGTTTCCTTGTGGACAGGGAGTAGATATCAATATTTTTATTTTATTTCCCTACTGTCTCTTTCAGAGTCTGGCATATTATAGAAGCTTAATAAGTACTTGTTGTGTGAACACATAAGTAAATGAATGAATGGTAGGAACACATAAGTAAATGAATGAATGGTGTAAATCAAGCTTGTTCAACACGTGGCCAGCAAGGCCACCTGCGACCCAGAAGTGCTTTGAATGCAGCCCAACACAAATTCATAAACTTTCTTAAAACATTATGAGATTGTTTTGTGATTTTTTTTTTTTTTTAGCTCATCAGCTGTCATTAGTGTTAGTTATTTTATGTGTGGCCCAAGAAAATTCTTCTTCCAGCGTGGTCCAGGGAAGCCAAAAGATTGGACACCCCTGGCAATCAAGAGCATGTAAATGAGAAGGAACAGAAATCTTAGTGTGTCTTACCCAGAATAGAGAGTTATTGTGTTTGAAAATAGGATTAAATAGTCATTCCAGAGAACTTTAAGTTTGATGCTCTAAAGGAATAGGGAATAATTCTAGAGTGTTATACAGGATAATGAGTGGTAAATATAGTGTTCAAAGAAATTTGATCTGGACAAAGAATAGAAGCGTGAACAATAAAATGTACAATTGTGTGTTGGTATCCATAAGGGATTAATTTCAGGGTCTCTCATAGATACTAAAATCGTGGATGCTCAAATCCCTGATATAAAATGGCCTGTTATTTGCATATAACCCAATCACATCCTCCTGCATACTTTAAGTCATCTCTAGATAACTTATATTACCTAATACAATGTAAATACTATGCAAATAGTTGTTATATTCTATTGTTTAGGGAATAATGACAAGAAAAAAGTCTGTACATGTTCAGTACAGATGAGTCATCCATTTTTTTCCAAATATTTTTGATCTGCAACTGGTTGAATCCAGGTATGTGGAACCCAGTGGATACGGAGAGTCAACTCCACTACAACTGACCAAATGTGTGTGTGACGAGGACTTATCATAAATGTCTATAAATGACCTTACTGTCAGCAAGAGCTAAACAATTCAAACCTTCCTCCAAGGGATTAGCCTCAGCCTGCCCATAAAAGGATAAATCTGAAAAATCCAATGGTAGTTGATTTGATGTGGAAATATATTCCTTATATTATTGCCAGCTCTGATTTAAGTAAAGGGATAGAAATCCAATTACCTCCTTTCTCCCTAGGTCATGACCTAGAGATAACCTATAACTAATTATTCTGTTAAATATCCCTGAGTTAGTGCAAGAAGCAAGAACAAAAAGAATAAAGTCTGAGAGTGTCTAAAAGGTTCTTTTAAATGCAACTTTTGAAAATCCAATTTAAATCTATAAATACTTGAAATTATGTTGATTTCACTAAGGTTTCTGAAAAATGTATCAGTATTTCCTGAGTATGAGTAATTTTGTGTATCTGAAGTATAAAAGTATGCAGAATAATATTTTTTCCTTTTTTTTTTTTTTGAACAGCAAAACTTAGAGAGTAACCTCACCAACCTTATTAAGAGGAACACAGAACTGGAGACCCTTTTGGCTAAACTCATCCAAACCTGTCAACATGTTGAGGTGAGTATCTCTGTATTTCTGTATGGTATGTTTCGTATGAAAACTGCCAGATCAAGGTTTTGATATCCTCATGCTTTATAATTTTAAAACAAGAATCTTTCTTAAAACTAAATATTTTGCAAAAGCCAAAATAAAAGATGGATGAAATTAAAAGGAATCAGAACTTCAGAGAATCTCTCCCATCCAGGGCTGCCTCCCATTCCCGTTATAGCTCTCCCTGATCTAGCATTACATAGCAGTCCTAATGTTGTAGATTTTAATTGCCCTTACAAAGAACAGTCAAAAAAGGTATTGTATTAGTGTACTAGGGCTGCCATAACAAATTACCACAAACTGGGAAAGCATAAAACAAGAGTAATTTATTCTGTCAGTTTTGGAGGCTAGAAGTCTGAAATCAAGATTTTGGCAGGGCCATGCTCCCTCCAAATGTTCTAGGGGAGGATCCTTCCTTGCCTCTTCCCATTTTCTGGTAGTTGCAGGCAATTCTTGGAGTTCCTTGGCTTGCAGCTACAGCACTCTCAACTCTGCCTCTGTCGTCACATTCTCCTGCTGTGTCTCTGAATATGCGTCCAAATTTCCTTATTGTTATAAAGAGCCCACCCTACTCCAGCCTTACCTCACTTTAACTTGATTACACCTGCGAAGACTATTTTCAGGCCAGGCATGGTGGTTCACACCCTGTAATCCCAGCACTTTGGGAGGCTAAGGCAGGAGGATCACTTGAGCTCAGGAGGCCAGCCTGGGCAACATGGCGAAAACCCATCTCTACTAAAAAATACAAAAAAAATTAGCCAGGCGTGGGAGCACACACTGTGGTCCCAGCTACTTGGGAGGCTGAGGTGGGAGGATAACCCAAGCCTGGGAAATTGAGGCTGCAGTGAGCTGAGATTGCAGTACTGCACTCCAGTCTAGGTGACAGAGTGAGACCTTGTCTCAAAAAAGAAAAAAAACCAAGAGTCTATTTTCAAATAAGGTCCCATTTACAGGTACCAGGGGTTAGGACTTGAACATATCTTTTTTTACAGACACAATTTAACCCACTGCAGGTGTATATTAATGCATCTTAGTTGTCAGATGTGTTTCCATGAAATAAACCACAATTGCAACAATAGCAGAACCTGCAATGACTCTACACTGCATAAGGAAAAAATAGATGCCACTTCCTTTATGTATGTGATTTTCAAAGTCCTCTTCCATCTTCTCCCAAACTGTCTTTTTTACCACCCCACCCCATGAACTGAAACTAAACAATTGCCATTCACTACACTTTTAAGCCTTCTGGCCCTTAACCAAGCGGTTCCCTCTGCCTGGTAGGCCAATCCCTCCAACCCATGTCTATTTGTCAGAATGCTTCCTGTGTACCCTCCAAGTCCTAAGTCAAGGGGCACTTCAGTTGTGAATGTTTCTCTGGTTCTCGGGACCAGAGTCATCACCCCTTTCTCTGAATCGCATAACATTTTATGATATCGTGTATGTGATTCAGAGAAAGGAGAGATGTCCCCGCCCCAATCTCATGTCGAATTGTAATCCCCAGTGCTGGAGGTGGGGGTTGGTGGGAGGTGTTTGGGTCATGGGGGCAGATCCCTCATGGCTTGGTGCTGACTCCATGATAAGTGAGTTCTCACAAAATCTAGCTGTTTAAAAGTGTGTGACACGCCCCCCTCCGCCCACCCGCCTCCCCCCCACACACTCTCTCTTGCTCCTAATTTCGCCATTTGATGTGCCAGCTCTGGCTTTGCCTTCTACCATGTGTAAAAGCTTCCTGAGGCCTCATCAGAAGCTGAGCACATACCTGGTGCCCTGCTTCCTGTACAGCCTGTAGCACCCGTGAACCAATTAAACCGATTTTCTTTGTAAATTACCCAGTCTCAGGTATTTCTTTATAGCAATGTAAGAATAGTAATAATCTTCTCATGGCTTTATCATTCTTCCATGTACCAGTTCCATTTTTCCAAGCAGAATGTGAAGTCTTAGAGGATGGGAGTCAAATCTAATTCGTTTTTGTATCTCATAGACTCTAATGCATTGATTTTCACACAGTAGGAGCTCAGGGAATTTGTTTTAGATGAATTTGCTTGATGACTCTCCAAATGGCAAATTTTGAACACTATTTGAATGCTTGCAAGTTCAGCTCCCCCAAAATATCTAAAGTTGGAGAAGCAAATTATTTTGAGCATGCATTTAAAATTTTTGACAGTAACTCCATTTTTGCAATAAGAGTTTCTTGAAGTCCCTTTGATCGTCTAAACAGTAATTATAAGTTTATAGCCTCCTATGTGCCTATAACTGTCAGTAGATGCACAATGTAGCAAATAATAATAAAGATTATAATATGTTAGAGAACAGTGTACACACATATAACAACATATTTAAAGAACAGTAGAGTAGCCAATCAGGTGCCAAGCTAGTAGAATATTGCATTTATGGATTCTAAGATAAGCAATTTTTTTACAGACTAATATTGCTGAAATTGAGCTGCAACTTAAATGAATGGTGAGACAGTTTAATGGGCAACATTTGTTTGTTCCTCCTGGCATACAAAATATAGATGAGACAGTTGCTGGTATCTTAGATTTGATGGAGTATAGTTTGAGAAGGGGGGATTAAAAGAGAAAAAAAATGTGAGTACAATTTTTGTGAAACTTTATGGAAGAGTCAGGACTTGAGCCAGTTACTATAGATTTCACAACTATTATTTTAGTACCCTAGGTATTGAGATGTCAGCTTATTTATTCAACATAATGGTGTTTGTTGGTGATACATTTCTCAGCATAGCAGAAATTAGCAAAGATTGCTTTCAGAAAGATCCTATCAGTGTAAAAGCATGTCTACTGTGCAAACACTGGTGCTTTGGTGGAAGGCTTAAAATACTTTGTGTTTGTAAAGTCTGCGCTTTTACTTACAAGTGCTCCCTTTGTGATCAGAAATATAAAACTGGTTACTAAGAGAAACACATGAGTTAGCAACTTTTTCCAACTCCAAATTTGTTGTGTTTTCCAAAGATAATATCCAGGGAGATAGAAATTAGGGATGTTCTCATCTCCTACCTAAGCCATCTACTCCAGCTGTTCATCATTTGAGGTGCTGATGGAGGTTATGATAGGTGGAAGAGGGAAAGGCATACAAAAGGAAAGAAAAGGAGGAATTAGAACAAAACATAAGTGAGAGAGCAGATTAGGACTGTCCAGTGAGCTCATTGGTTCACTTAGTAGACCCTCTTGCTTTAAAAGCTACATGATTGTCAGGGTAGAATCAGTTTTTCATCATGTTGAGATGAAGTTGAGAGTGTGAAGGCAGCAGCAGTGGCAGCAGTGTGTTGCAGAATCCAGACCTTTTGAACCCTCTGCTTAGACTGGATTCTCTTTTGGCAAACATCTTGCCAGGGAACATGTTGAGCCTTGTTGATTAAACAATATTGGAAATAATAGTGAACAAGCATAATGTTTTCATTATTATAGGGTAAAGTGAATATGTATTATATGAATAAATGGATGAACAAAATGGAATAATCTGTATGCCATATTTTATTTTTATGATGTGATAGCATTTGATGTTTAGGACAATAAGAAAGAATTATTTCTTTTCAGTAAAAAAAAAAAAAAAATTACCTGAGCTTTATGGTAAATCTTATAAATGCTTTATGGATTGGGTGATTATTTCATTCAATTTCAGCTAGTTACTCCTTAAAGCATTAATGTCTGGTTTCCATTATGACCTGTTGTGATTTCAGAACAAATGCATTGCTCCTAATGCAATATTATTATGGCTTGAATTTACAAGACGCTATTCATCCTAACATGATGTAAAATTACATTCTAAGATGTTCAGTAATTTCAAATGATAGATAAATTGAAGAAATTTACAAGGAGATTTTAGTTTTATATTAATAGATCAGATATGATTTTAGTTGTAATACAGGTTTTTCAAATAAAGCTATTACTGAATTGACTGTAGCAGAGTTGCAAATAGACACATACATGCCATTAGAGGTAGTTCTAAACAAGAAATAAAGAATATTCATTTTTTTCTTTGTTGTTTTTGTATAAATCCTTTGGAATGGAAACACATGTTTATGGGTGAGTAAGTTTGGTATTTGGGAAATTTATTCTAGATAAAAATTAAAGAAAATTATGAGTAGAAAAATAATGATACTTACAGTACTTATTTTTACATTTGTTTTTATTCCTAATTATTAGTATTCTGAAAGTATAATTTTCAAAAGTTGAACACCCATTTCTCATATAATGATTGAATTAGTCCACATCAAAGATTTATTTAACTTCTTAATGAAGGAACCAGCAAGATAATAAAGCTGCTTCCAAGGAGGATACCAGAAACGGATGCATATAAATGTGGGGAAGGGGTTAGCAGGGGGAAAAGAATGCCAGACTAGCATAGCTAATTTGGATACAAAACTGGTTAGTGACCTACAGGGCAATAAGGCTAAAACATTTGGACAAAATAAGTTGCATATTATTGGGTTTCTCTAAGTTAACATCTAACTTTGCAGAGTCTAAGCCCTAACCACTAGTAAATAGAAAGTCAGACTCTGTTACATCCCAGTCTGGAGAGTCAGATGACCCTGACTTAGGCTGACTTCATGGAATATGCTCTCGTGGGACTTTGGAAGGGCTCACAGTCTTCTCTTTCTCTTTTTTCCAAGTTTTCGATAATTTCGCTTAACATGACTTTCTGTTCTAGAGACTTGATCTAGGAACAGTGTTTGCTAAACAAATATTTCTGGGAGGGGGTGTACATTTTTGCCTGTGGACAGTTACTTTAATTTGTTACAGTGTCTTGCTAGTTTGTTCATTTCAGTAGTGCGGATGGAGTACCCACTGTGTTAGGTGCCAAAGGACCCTGCCCACAGGAAGTTTACTATCTTCACTAAGACAGAAGAGCACTTATAACACAAAATAAAGTAGAAAGCCATAATTACCATAAAGAAGGTGTGGATTATCTACTTCAAAATTTCAGAGAAGCAAGAAATTGCTTCTAGC